AAAATTTAGGAATATATATAAATAGAAATTCTCAAACTATAAGCTCAAAAACAATAACTGATGCGGTGTTTCCAAGATATTTTAACGCCCTTGAGTCACAAGTATATACAAGTATATTTTATCAATCATACCGATAATTTCATGTATTAAAATAATTAAAAATGAAAATTAATAAAAAAATTACATCAGAAAAATGAATAAAATTAAGTGAAATTAATGTTTAATTTCTAACCTAACCTACAATTGTATGTATGTAACTGAATCGCTTAATAATAGCTTTACATATAAAAAGATTATCCTAATTTTCCAGCTTAACTCCCTAATCTGTTATTAGAAAAAGAGATTAGCCATGCAAAATTATAATTAAAAATATCACAGATTAAACCGATAACTTTTTGGTGTCCAACTTAGTTTTATCGATTATACTTGCGAAGAGGAGCAGGAATGTCAAATATTAAAGTAAACAAAAATTGACGCTAGTAAGGAAAATAGGTTTGTAAAGGTATTTTTTATAAAATATTCAGTTATAAATCAATTATATAAATAGGCAATCATGTTTCCTTTACACCCCTTTTACGGCTAAACTGTACTTCTAAGGTATAAACAATTATATATCATTAGAAAGGTATTTGTGCTGATGTGCAGGCAACCTACCTTGGATTATGGGAAATCTACATACCAAATTTCGTTGAGATATCTCAATTGTTGCTGGAGTTATCGTGTACACGGTCGGACGGACAGACGGACAGACGGACTGACAGACATGGCTTAATCGATTTCTTTTTTCATCCTGATCATTTATGTATACATTTGTCTATATCTATCTCGATTCGTTTTGGCTGTTACAAACAACCGTTATGTGAACAAAATTAATATACCCTTGTGCACAAGTGCGCTCGGGTATAAAAAGAATAAAAGTCAATCGATAATCATTATATTAAGATAAATATTTTTCGAGTCATCTATAATTATTATTCAAGGACATTTATTATAAAAGTCCTTTCATAATAATTATCAGAGAGATAAATATTTTTTAGTATTCAAAGACTTTTTTAAGACTTATATTATAAAAGCTTTTTCATAATAATTATCATTGAGATAAATATTTTTAAGTTTTCAAAAACTTTTATTTTAAGACTTATATTACAAAGGTATTTTTAGTTGGGAACCAGTTCGGGGCTAGTTGGGGAGCAGTGTGGGCCCATTTGGGGCTTGGTTTGGGACCCGTTCGGGACTATATACAAAATTTTGTCGTACTTATAATTATTATCAAAAGACTTTTATAATAAAAGTCTCAAAATAAAAGTCTTCAAAAATGTTTATCTCGGTGATAATTATTATGACAAGACTCTTATAACATAAGCCTCAAAATAAAATTCTTTGAAGACTTAATAATATTTATATCGCTGATAGTTATTATGAAAATACATATATTATATACGTCTTAAAATAATAGTATCGATGATTTTTTTTTAAATTTACCGTTATATGAAAAGTGGTCGTAATTTTAGTCCGATTTCAGTAATTTTCAACGTGGAAAGCACAATAATCATACCGAGTTTGGCACAAATTGGTCGAACGGTTACCGAGATACACACATGAGGTCATAAGTGGGCGGTGCCACGCCCATTTTCCAAAATTTAATCATAAACGCATTTTTTGCTAAAGATTTATGGCAAGCATCAATTCAGAATAAATTAGCTTCAGTATTTAGATTTAACGAAGGTTTCATATTTCTCTAAAATTACCGTTATATGGAATGTGAGCGTGGTTATTGCCCGATTCTAAAAATTTTCAGCCGTTTGGTATGTTATACCAAGGCCAACAGCTGTGCTAAATTTGGGAAAAATTGGTGGAGGGGTTACCAAGATATACACATGTAACCATAAGTGGGCGTGGCAACGCCCAATTTCCAACAATTTATAATATTGTTATATTTTCCCAAGAGATCTTTGTTAGTATCAATTTTGAGTGAATAAGCTTCAGTAGTTACTGAAATATCGCAGTTTTCGTATTTCTGAAAACTACCGTTATATGGGCGCTAGGCGTGGTTATTGTCCGATTTTGCCCATTTTCAATACCATCCGTCCTACGCTGAAAATAAGTACACATACGAGTCTCGTTAGGATACCTCACAGATGAACGGACACACAGTCACCGCTTAATCGATTTCTTGTTTAGTTCTGGTCATTTATGTATACATTTTTCTTTGTCTATATCGATTCGCTTTTGCTGTTACAAATAACGGTTATGTGACTGACGGCTTGACTTTTTTTGGACCACCCTAATGCACATACATATTGAAGTTGCTAAAGAATCTTGTTGATTTATTTTTTATTTTTTGAATTTTTTTAGCTGGCAGTGTCACCCACTTTCTTCCATATAAAAAATTCCTTTGTATGGAAGAAAATGCGTGATAACGTATAAAAAATAAAATAAAATATCTTCGTTCATTTCTCCCTAATGAAGCATATCATAATTTTTAAATTAACAGGTGTGGTTTAGGGATGGCTAGGGGGGGTTGAAATTGAATTGCTTTAAGTACCACTTAAAAAAGTAACAAAATGTATATTGAAACTAATAATTTTAGACGTATAATGTACTTTTATTTATTTTTCTTTCTTTACAAGAAAAAAAGAAATTTGTACGTATTTCACGTTACATACTTATACATTTATACGTATGTATGTTTATACTTTTACAACGAGTAAAAAAGTATCATTTTCGCTGCTGGTGTTTTCGACAGGGTAGGACTGTGATGTAATGCGGAACGTTTTTCCGTCATCCCTTGTCAAATTTGGTTTGGTGACAAACCGTTACCGTTGTCAGCGTTGTGCCATCTTCAGTGTCATTTTTCTTACATTTAATGACAACTTATGATTTTGCTTTTTAAAACGAGATATTTAAGTAAACAAGGCGTGAAGAGTTCTATCGAGCCACATTTTTTTGGCAAATGCCAACACATATTGATGTCAGGTTTAGTCAGAAAGAAGAAAGTTGCAGAGTTTTTGAAAGTAAAGACGAAATTCGATTTCTTTTAGGCAAATTCGATTGTATCCGAATTTTAGAAAAACAAAGTGGAGCTAAAATTCGATTAAAATTCGATTCTCGAAACTACGAATATCGAATTTAGTCATCTCTAATGTGGATATTGCCCTTTTGGTTGTTTCCGACATCGTTGGTGTATGATGTAGTTTGGAATGAGTTTACATCATCCCTTGTCAAATTTGGTTTGGAGACAACCCGGTTATGTTTTGTTCATTTATTGGGCGTTCCAAAGTCCAGAATTAAAAACGAACACACGCTTACAGCAAAACCTGAAAATCATGAACTTATCGCCTTTGTTCCTTTTTGGCTTTACTATCGAAAGTCTTTTCTCAAATAAATTAAAAGTAACGATGAAACCACCATCGATAGTTTTGTAGCAATAGTTGTATGTAGATAATTCCCAGTAGATAATTTCAGGAGTTAAAAGCCCTTCCGAAAGGCCTGCCTGGGAGTCAAAAGGCCATCCACTCTACATTCCTTTCTCCTTTCTTTTTTGTATGGGGTTGCACAAATTGAAGGGCTCCTTCGTACTTCTTAATTTATAAAAATCATACATCTTGTTTGCTTACGGTTTATAACAAATATATATTATTGCAAATTAAAATATTAATTGAAATTCATTTGTAATTCTAAATAATATAAATTTATGCATTCGTNTTTTTGTATGGGGTTGCACAAATTGAAGGGCTCCTTCGTTCTTCTTAATTTATAAAAATCATACATCTTGTTTGCTTACGGTTTATAACAAATATATATTATTGCAAATTAAAATGTTAATTGAAATTCATTTGTAATTCTAAATAATATAAATTTATGCATTCGTTTAAATTGTAAATGGATAAGCCATTCTAGAACGCATGCAAGGAAGCACTTTTTTCAGCCCTTCTTGGGTAGGCCTCTTAGAATAGTTTTACTTAAGAAAGCCTACCTAAATTATCTTCTGGGTCGTTCGCCTTTGTGTAAATTAATATATATATGTACATACATATATATTGCGATATTTTTCGCGTTTGTTATTTTTTCACATTGTCGAGAACTTCCATTAAGTAGTGCATAGAATGAATCTATGGGTAGACGTGTGCCAAACAGAAGCAATGGAAAATCGTTTGTTTATAAAAGTAAGGTGTAGAGGGATATTTGAAGAATATTTATGATGATTTAGCAATTTGGTGTAATAACACATTTGTGTTTATTTCTCCTTGTAGGTTAATATGGAGAAACGTCGGAATACCTTGGATCGTTTTCAACGTTTAGGCTTCGGTCGAAAGAGTACACCAACGCCGAGTGGGGCGTCCACGGAAAGCGGTGGCTCCTCACGAAATCGTAAATCCACTGAGAAATCAGAGCGATTGAGGGAACTAACAGAACTGCTGCGCGGCAATAGATCTTCGCCAACTCCGCCACCTATACCGCCGCCACGGAAGCCACGTCATGGATCTCACTCGGCGTCTAATAGCTTGGAACGTTCTGAAACACAGGCGCACGCTCCTGCGGTGAGGACTCTTTCTGCTACCACTTCCTCATTGGACAATACTCCGTTGTCATTCATGTCGGCCCGGTCTGATGGCATCATGCTGATGGACCAAGATGAGCAAGCTGCTGACTATCCTTCTGCTGGTACAAGTACGAAAGACTCTGTTAAGATAGATGCAAAAAACGATTTTAGCAGAAGCGATCTGCCGTCGAAAGCAGAAGTTTCAGGAACAGAAGCAAGAGCAGCAGCAGCGCAGGCGGTAGCAACAACTAAATCGCTGACATCAACAGCCAAACTATCCGATACACTCAAACCAAATGCCAGTCTGTCGAATTTCGAATCGCTGATGTTGATGGGCAGAGAGCAATCAAAGTCCCCGCCACAGCGACCCGCTGCAAATGTTGTCGCAAGTGGCTCTGTAAATGCCGACAGTGCACAGCTGGCCAACAGTTCGGATATAGCTACCAAGCTGGGCAGACCAGAATCTCGCACGGTAATCGGCTCATACACCCAGAAGGGCATTCCATTTCGTTCAGCTTCGTTTTCTCAAATTGATATTTCGTCTGGAAAGTACAAAAAGTGTTCGTGGAGCGCATTGCGTGATCGTTTATGGCGTGAAAAAGTGGTTGGATCAGTTGATTCCGCAACGAATACGAAAAAAGGCAGAATCGAAGAAGCAAGTGGCGCATTGACGTCTGCCGTTGCAACTGAAGTGAAAGTGAATTCTGAGCCAGATTGGATTTACATACCGTTGAAAAAGAAAACTGAAATGAGTATTAACTTAAATTACGGTCAAGATATGAGTAATCTAGAGAAGGTAATCGAATCGCCCGATATTATACCCGAAGAAGATATATTCAACACTGATGCAGAACATTCCTCTAGTGCTACCGAAGACAGTAAAGAGGCGGTTTTAAAAACTAATCTTGTAATAGCACACGCTAAAATGGAGTCGTTAACAGACACGATTCATTCCGAAAACGACTTTACGATTGAGGCGGAGGAAGTAGCTCTGGCTATTCAGCCAGTGTCAGCTGTTGTGGAGTCGGAAGAGGGTTTAGTTGAACAGGCAAAAGTCATTGAACAGCCAACTATTCAGGAGCCTATTAACGCAGAGCTAATGGAACCGAATGTGGCAATGTTAATGGAAGAACGAATGCCACTTGAATCGCCTCCTGATAATTTTTTACAGACAGCAACCACTTGCCTGATTCCGGTGCCAGTTTACGAGTGTGCTGCCCAGGAGTGGCGTTTGGAGAATCCTCCGCAGGAATGGGTGGAGGTTCAGCCTGAAGAGTTTGGCATAATACCGGAAGCAATAGAGCCGCTATTATCGCTTAGTGACTGCGTAAATGTAAAGCATGTATCAAAAACGGCGCAGGAGTACCGCGTGGAAAATCTTCCAACAATTTCAGTTAGTCGTTCTTCAGAAGAAGCAGACGATAAATGCATTTTGAGGCGGAAAGATACCTTTGATGAAGAGTTCTGTGACCTTGTGGAGAGGCGTCAAGCGTCAATAGATACGGCTGAACTCAGCAAGAGATATAGCAATGACGATGACCGATGTCTAGGTAAGGAGAAACGAGCATCTTTAGAAGCCATTACTACTCGACACAGTACAGACGAGCGCAAACGCATTGACAAGTCGAAGCGGCGGAAGGGAATGTATATTGATAATGCTGCTTGGAGCGAGTCTCCTGATGTGGAAGCGCACAGCAGGGGTTTGGCGTTGGACATTTCACTGGCTAACTTAAATGTCATCAAACCGGACACGCCAGATGAATGTGCAATAATGTATATTAATAGCCCACCCACAGATGAAAAAAGGACGCCAGGCTCCCTATACTCACCTGAAATAAATACCCCGGAATCGGATAAGCCGCCAGAATGGACAAAGGCGGATCGCCTTGCTAGTTTTAGCCTTCAAAGTTCCGAGGATAAGGAAGATATTCAGGGTGTAATGGGTAGTGGGGGTAACCTTTCACGCAACAATCAAAGTTTTCCTTTCTTACGTACTGACTCAGTGTCCGACAACGAAAGTGATCGGGGTCCATCATATTGTCGCGAGCACGCCAGTCCAAGTCCTGTTCCTGGTGACTACGATTTTAAGCGGTATTCAAAACGACCACTCCGTGGGCCTTACGGTCAAATGCTGGAAAAGGAAATGAAGAAGCCCAACAAAATGCATTTCGAGGAAATATTGGAGGACCTCCGTGAATCTGAGGTGTAAGTGGAATGAATATTATATACTAAAAATAAATTAAATTTGTTAATGTTTTATCCTTATGTTTAAATATTCTGAAACATATTTTGTTTTTGTTCATACACAGTTCCTCGCAACCGCGCCGCCCACGTATCGCTTATGATGATTCCAGCGCCATTACGGCGACCAGTACCCGAAATATACCTCACCATTCGAATTCGATGCGAGTACGCAAGTCAAATACATTTCTGCCTGTACCGGCACATGCAAGAGCAGCCTCTACGCCATCTCAAATAGAGAATGTAAGCAAAAGCGGAGCCATCGGCAGCTTGGAGAAGATTCATCCACACGAGAAGCGCTACCAAAGCACGCTGGATAACTCAGTAACTTCTGCTGACAAGGATTATCAAGATGCGGGGCATCATTATCCAAATCACCATCTTCACCAACGCGAAGTAAAACGCGCAGCTTCGGAGGCTCCTGCTCAAAAAAGCCATCATAACAAACGCAGTCAATCGATGAGCGGAGAAAAAACCGCCTCGGGTGGTACACATATCGTACACCAGGCAAATCGTAGCCTCGATGCTACTACCAGCGGAAGCGCCAGGGGCAATTCCAATTCCGGTAAAAGCTCCACAATTGTACCGTCACAGGAACTGTTGGCCGAACTGCTGAAAGGCTCCAGTGAGAAGTTGATATCTGAGCAGCGCCAACAAATGGCAGCGGTAAGTATATTTTTGGATTTCGGTTAAGAGTATACGTACATACAGATGTATGAATGTAAAGTAAACAAAAATTTTCCATAAATTTCCGGTTGCGCATGTAGGCGATAGAGCTCTGCATGAGTTGATTCAAACTTCCAGCCACAGAAAGTGCAGCAGATTTGAGCATGATAAAAATATAGTAAGGTAGAACCGCAAGGCGAATTAATATAAGGTGATAGCATGAATACAAAAACAAAAATTTACATGTATTTTGTTATTGCTTTGGCGGCATATACTGTCAAAATCTGTAAGAGTGTGTGTAGAAATTCAAAAAAAAATTTTCAATTTGACATCAGAAGCCGTGCGGCGAAACACATACACAAAATCAGCTGATCTAGTAACACCACCTTATATAAATTCGCCTTGGCTGAGAGTTACTTTTAAATTCTTGACGTTTCCAAACATTTTAATTTTTAAATTTACTCACAAACTCTCACACACATTTTAATTTTCAATCCCAAGCAACAACAATTTCAAGGCGAATTAATATAAGGTGATAGCAGGAGTACAAAAACAAAAATTTACATGGATTTTGTTTTTGCTTTGGCGGCATAAACTGTCAAAATCTGTAAGAGTGTGTGTAGAAATTCGAACAAAAGTTTTCAATTTGATATCAGAAGCCGTTCGGCGAAACACATACACAAAATCAGCTGAGCTAGTAACACCACCTTATATAAATTCGCCTTGAACAATTTCGAACAATTTCAATTTTTTATTTTCAATTTTATATGACTTTAAAATGCTGGCAAACTTCAAAAAAAAAAATCATGGCCGACAAATTGAGAGAACGGTTCTACCTTGCTGTGTTTTTATCACGGATTTGAGTATTGTACTTCACATACAAAACACTCAGCGTTTTGAATTTTAGAAGCTATGAATATAAATTTTGTTTTAAATTTTCCACCTTCAAATGAAAGAATGTGAACGAATGAACGAAAAACATTCAAATCAATGCAGAATTCATGCAATGTGATAGTGACAGCACAAAAACAAAAAAACTACATTAACAAATTATATGAACGATGATAAGCAGAACACAAACAATTTAACAATCAGCCTTACTCGCCCTGAAATCATCTGCTCCAGTAACACCATTTTTAAAGAATTCGCCTTTCTTTTAAATCATTCAATCTCATTTTGGTTTTAGTTTTTTTTCTGCCAACAAGTTTTTTCGTATATAAAGCTTGATGTTACATATGTATGTACAAATGAACGCCTAGTGCTGAGAATTGAAGAATTCCCAAATTAAAACTGTACATATAAAATTGACAAGGGGGATATTATTAGACACATATTTTTGGCTTTTTAAAAATGGACATATGCTCTCGTACATGTAAAGTTAGGTAAAAAAATATATGGATTGAATAATGAAAAGCGGAGTATATAATTCATAGTCCTTTTTTATATCCTTTTTGTTAGCCATTTTTATGGTCAGGTTTTAATTAATTGAAAACATATAATATGCATATGTCCATGGGGATCCATTTTAATTTTATACTTGTTGGAGTGTAATAGTAAAACTGTACTATTGACAGCCAAGACCATGTTTCACTCTTACAGCGCAAAAACCATAAATTCCATGGTCTGACACTGTCTCACACCATGCCCTGCGATCAAGATCGGACTGATACATGGCACGTGACGATGTTACCTCCAAAGTCCCACTAGAAAATCTCCACTAAATGTAAACTATTGCTATAAGCCTCCATAGTCTATGTGAGATCGTAGAGATCAGCCAAGCTATGCATCTCAACCAAAAATCAACGTTGTAAAGTGCGGACCTTTACAATGTAAATTAAATTTTGTTTATGCATTAAAATAATTGAAACGAATTGCATTCTTGCTTTACTTGCTTAGCTTTGAAAACTGTCAAAAGTTATTTGGAATATACTAAAACGTATGAAGGGTGGCCAAATGGCAGCTTTGCTTCACTTGCTTTAAGCGCCACAAAGTTTCAAATTGGCAAATGTTTTATTTAAAAGCGTTTCGTAGGCTGTTGACAAAAAGATATGTTCCTGTTCTAAATCAATTCAAACGAACTGCTGACGACTTTTATGTACAAAAATTGTTTTACGTAATATAAAAAATTTATGTATAATATTAGTAATTCGAAGTTTCTTAAAAAGTGATCTATGTCTCCTTATTTATATTTAACATGTCGCTGGCTTAAAGTGAAAAGTTGCTAAGTCCAATTTGAAAAATTTTACAGGAACTTTGAATACAACATTTTGCGTGTTTAATGTAAAGCAAAACTCCATACAAATCAGAAGGATTCGATCTCTGTTAAAACAATTCGCACTATTTTGGCCTTTTTGCATATTCGGGGCCTCTTTTGGACCTATAAAATTTATCTTTCATTGAATATAAACGAGAAAAAATAAAACAAGTCCCTTAGTTCTTAATTTCTCTTACTTTCTATGTCAAAATTTGAGGCTTCATAAAATGCAGACTTATCAACTTTTCACACAAAGCGATATTTATGATGCCAAACTACTGGTAAGTTGTCTCTTGAAAAATCGATTTTTTTTGAGTTTTTTGTTTCTAATAAATGTACATATATGTATGTATAATTATTATCATTTCTTTGAAATGGAAAAATTAATCACATTCATTTAAAAATAAATCTGAAAATATTGTTTTGTATTTATTTATTTATTTTTTTTAATTTTCTGGAATTTGATGGCAAAATTATTCTTAGTTTAAGGAAACAGACCTTGACTTTTCAACTACACAGCTGGTTNGTTTGAAATGGAAAAATTAATCACATTCATTTAAAAATAAATCTGAAAATATTGTTTTGTATTTATTTATTTATTTTTTTAAATTTTCTGGAATTTGATGGCAAAATTATTCTTAGTTTAAGGAAACAGACCTTGACTTTTCAACTACACAGCTGGTTGCTTTGACAGCGTTCCAAGTCGCCATTTGGCCGAAAGAGTTTTTGAAGTAAATCAAAGCAAATTAAAGTAAGCAAGGCGTTCAAAGCAAGCCTTCATTGGGCCAGCGCCTTTACCCAGTGGCTTATGTATATTACAAGTATCAAAAATGTATGTATTCATACGTACAGCATACGTAAAGCTCAATGAACGCAAGGCAAGCATATTCATATTCATAAAAAAACGCATTCATATTCAATTTGTTTTCAAAATGTTTGAACGCTGCCATGTCGTTATTTATATCAACACAGTTATTCATTTAAATTCAGTAAAGCTGAAAGCCCATCACATTTATTCAATTTGAATATGCATGATTCATTTGTCGTTTTGAATGGATTCNTGCATTCATATTCACTCAATTTGTTTTCAAAATGTTTGAACGCTGCCATGTCGTTATTTATATCAACACAGTTATTCATTTAAATTCAGTAAAGCTGAAAGCCCATCACATTTATTCAATTTGAATATGCATGATTCATTTGTCGTTTTGAATGGATTCATGCAGACGTCTGGTAGTCGAGCAGCGCACATTTTAATACCTTTCGTGTATATAAAAGTACAACGTAATTGTAAATATTTTCTTCGTTTGCTTGAATTTTCGCAATGGAAGTGGCAAGTAAATGTTCGCGAACGGAACGTATTTTCAGCTTCGACTGCAAGTTTTTTTCATTTCCCAACTCACCTTATCGCTTCGCCGACTGTTGACTTATGTGCAGTGAGTGTCAGAGGAAATCCTACAGTAAATTTTTGGAAAATGTTTTGTTTTATTTAAATTTCATTATTTAAAAAAAAAACATAGTTCATGCCACAACAAAATCCATATAACTCACCAAAATTTACTGAACTTTGATATCTTTGGTTCTAGTAGTCCAATTTTTGCTTTCAGTATTTGATAGATAACTGCGTACAATTAGTATCTTAATTTACAAATATGTATGTTTGTATGTTTGTATTTAATGTTCGTACTAATAGCAATTACTGAAATGTCGGAATTTTCGTATTTTCAACGTATTAGGCCCTATGGCGAATTTCACGTGAAGAAATATTCACAAAAATTATAAGGCAAAACAAAACTTTGTTTTTGTCCAAAATAATAAGCTAATTTAATGCTATGAGGTTATTCCAAGAATCGATTTAGAGTGAATTAGCTTCAGTAGCTACTGATTTATCGCAGTTTTCATGTTTCTGTAAATTACTGTTATATGGGAAGTGGGCGTGGTTATCGCCTGATTTCAAGGATTTTTAGCAAATATGTTAGATATAGCCTAAGCAAGGCTCATACCGAGTTTGTTACGGATTGGTAAAGCAGATACTGAGATACAGCATTTCATCAAAAGTGGGTGGGGCTTAGAGGTTTACGCCGACAGGCTTTGCGGCGGCGGCGTGGTCAACTTCAAAAATAATCGGCGGTGGCGGCGGTACTGCCCATAAGTACGGTGACCATCCGTTCTGTTTTTTGCAGGACCGTACTGTTTTTCAAAGGTCGGTCCTGCGTAGTTTTTCAAACCTGAAAAACCTGAAAATGTACTGATTTTTTCCAGGTGTCCTGCATTTGTCCCGCATTTTCATCGTTATTTTAAAATTATCGGACAATGGATGGATTTCTTCAAAAAAGTGTTTTTTGGTACTTTTCGTAGCCTTTCTTCAATATCTCATGAAAAAATCTCCCAATCAACGTAAGCGACTAACATATCGAAGGGTANCTTCAAAAAAGTGTTTTTTGGTACTTTTCGTAGCCTTTCTTCAATATCTCATGAAAAAATCTCC